TGGAGTCAAGGATTCTGAAGCTTCGTCTGACATACTTTGGGCATGTTGCAAGGAGGGACTGGTCCTTGGAGAGGGACATCATGTTTAGTAGAGTGGAGGGGCGGCGAAGGAGAGGACGACCCTCGATGAGATGGATCGATTCTGTGAGTGGAGTGGTGGGAATGAATGTGTTTGAGATGGCGAGGTTGGCACAGGATAGAATGGTGTTTAGGGCTCTTGTACATAGGGTTGCTATGAGTCGCAAACGACTCAATGGCACATAACAACAACAAGGATAGGAAGAGAGGAGGCTGTAACTGCCACATGAGACGTGGCTGTACTTCCATGCTCTGTGTCTTCTCCTCAAGTTTCTCCTCACCCCTGAGGATCTCTTGCTGATTTCTGTTGTTTTTAAGTTGTTCTCGGTTCCTTCCTGCCAAATAGGAAAGATCTGGGTTTGACAAAGCCAAAAGGTTTATTGATATAACTTACGAAGGGGATGCAGATAAGGATGGTGATTAGATGGTAGAAAGAGCACAACTGCTCTCTCATCTTGACAGATTTCTGGTTTTAGTACTTAATGAGCAAGGTCTGTGGCATGCGTGGGGAATCTTTGTAGTGAGAAATGACACTGTGGTCACTAAGAGCAAGGTCCCTGTGTTGATAAGCAAGCATGACCTGTCCATCACTAACAGGATTGGGCAAAGATGCGGGCTTCTGGGGACCCTGAGAGGTAGGGCTTGATGAGCTCCAGAGCTGGGTGGGAGAGCATTGTCCTATCAGTGGGTATCAGTCAGAGGGTGTGGAGGTGAGGACCAAAGCCTTTGTCGTATCCCCCAGAACATGTTCCTGGCCATCATCAATGACACCTACTCAGAGGTCAAGGAGGAGTTGGCTGGACAGAAGGATGAGTTGCAGCTTTCTGACCTTCTGAAACAGGTAATTACCTAGTCTCCATGAATCACACATCTGTATTAGAACCCAGGTCCAAGGTTCTGTGTCCTCTGTTTGTTTGTTTCTATGCCCTTGTGTGCCTAAGAATTCTTCGTAGAAGCCAGGCACTCTGTGCGTGGAGATGGGGCTATGGGTAATAAGAACTCTGTGGGAAGTAGTGGCTGTTCCCTCTCCCCTAACAGGGCTACAATAAGACCCTACAGAGGCTGCGTCTAAGGAAAGAACACGTTTCAGATATGCAGAAAGTCCTGCAGGGTGGACAGCAGGAGATCCAGTTTGAGGATTTCACCAACACCTTACGGGAGTGAGTAACCAGAGATCCAACCTTCTTTGATCTCAGTCGACAAATCCTTAACACTCAATTTATATGTTCTTTGCCATATACTTCTAGTTTTGGTCTATGAGCCTCTGATGTTAGCTTCTAATATATATATCTAATCCTGACCCTAAGACTTGTACCTTTGGTAGACATTGTAATTAAATAAGTACTCTGTTGTTGTTGTTGTTAGGTGCCATTGAGTTGACTATGACTCGTAGGTGCTGTCAAGTCACCTACAAATCCTAGTGATCCTTTGACTAACAGATTGAAATCTTGCCCAATCCTGCACCTTCCTCACAATCTCCACTATACTCAACCCTATTGTAGCAGTTACAGTGTCAATCCATCTCATTGAAGGTTGTCCGCTCTTTTACTGACTTTCTGCTTTTTCTGTCTTTTCCCAAGGACTAGTACCTCCTTAAAACATGCCCAAATCATGTGACATGAAGTTCCACCATTCCTGCCTGTATTAAGGCATGTTATTTAGTGTTACGTGCTGTTGAGTTGGAACCAACTCATAGCTGACCCTCCAGCTGGTTTTCAGAGCCTGTCAATCGCATGGGAGTTGATTGCCCACCCTTCTCCCACAGAGCAAGTGGTGCATTTGAATGATGTGTCTTTGAATTGGTAGTGGAGTTCCTTACCACAAGCTAGCAGAGCTCCCAAGCTCTACTGAGGCAGAAAAATCTAAAACTGAACAACATGCACAATAGCTATAAGCACTTGAGCATTGTTACAGTGTCAAATGGAAAGTTGTTCCCAGCAGAAGATAAAGCCAGGGAAATGAACTAGGGCTACCCTGGAAAAGGCCATGAATACCTCTACTTTATCTGAAGAATGGAGTCCTTGGGAAGGATTTCAACAGGAATTAGATCTATTTAGGCATACATTTTTAGGTAGATTAATTTTTTTTTAAATTTTCCTTCAGAAGTTGTCCATTTCAAAAATAGTTATGTAGTGAATGCAGGAGATAGAAGGGTTGCACATTAGTTACATGGAAAGATAGAGAGAGAGAGAGATTTTTTTTATGAGTCTCATTGAATCACAAGAGCTTTAATCTCATCAGGAGGAGTCAAAGGAAGAAGAAATAGAGTCAAGCAATCTCTTGAGGGGAATATTCCTTGACTTTGTAGCTACCTGCTTGCCTCTGAGATGCTCTTCTTCCCTGGGGAGTAAGACTCATATGGATTGAGTCTGGTAATGAGGTGGGGTATCCATAGTAGAGAGATCACAGCCAACATAGGTCACAAGTCATTGTCATCATCCTGTTCTCAGACTCGGGCATGGAGAGCAGGAAATCACAGAGCTCAAAGCCACCTTTACCAGGTTTGACCAAGATGGGAACTGCATCCTGGATGAGAAGGAGCAGACCCAAATGCGAGAGAATCTGGAGGAGGAGAAGGTGAGCCAGCTTTGTCCCCCACCTCCACGTCTGGCTGTGGTGGGGAGCAGTGTGAAGAAGTCACCCACTCTACTCCACTCCACCCCTAGCAAAGAGAAAAAAAAAATCCCAACTCCTCTGGTATGTGGGCAGGGAAAAGCTTCTCTAGAATAATGGTTCTCAAACTGTGTTTCTTTCCTTTTTTTGAAGCCTTTCTGTAACTATCAACATTTATCAAAGTTCATAGAGTTTCTGGAGACATGTTGTTTAGGAAGTGGATGCCACTCCTGCTTCCAAACACTAGCATTTTTAAGTTTCCCTGGTGATTCCAGTGTGTGGTCAAGGTCGGGAACATGGCTCCAAAGCTCAGTCTTAGTGAAAATGGACCAACTATCCAAGAATGCCTGACAATTCCCCTAACCACTTGTCCTTCCTTTCATATTTTCAAACTCTAATATTCAGCTGTCCCTGTTATGCCTGCTCTATCTCTTTTCAGTGTAGATCAAAAAGTTGGAGGGAAGAGTCAGGAATTCTTGTATTGTTTCTGATTGGTGCAAATAGTTAAATATACTAGCCTATTAACCAAAAGGTTGGAGGTTCAAGTTCACCCAGAGGTGCTTCAGAAAACAATGCCGGCAATCTGCTTCTAAAAAGTCAGCCATTGAATCCCTATGTGCGAAAGTATGCTCTGACATGAGATGTTGAAGCTGACTTGAGCACAACTGGACTTCCTTCTCTCCCAAACTGAGTGGGACATTTGGGAACTCCATTATTCAAGGCATCTAGAAGTTTGTATTTTGTTTCTTTGAGGTGAGTCTTCCTTCAGAGGGTATGCCAGGTTTGTGTTTGCCACCACCCAGCCGTATGTCTTGAGTCTGAGAGGGCAGAGCCATAGCAAAGTTTGGTCCTGAGCCCATTGGTACCCATTAGAGCAGATGGTAGAATGGAAGCTTATTACTTCCAGAATCATTCTCATCCTTCTGACTTCTGACTCCCCAATCAGGTGGCTCTCAGCACTGAGATTGAGAACTTGGGTCAGTCCCTTGTGAGAAGCCCAGCAGGCCATTCAGGCTCCGAGGCTGCCAGAGCAGGTGCCTGGGTATCTGGAGCAGAATTCCACACGTACGTGAGACTATGGGCCCAGGGCAGATGGGTTTATTATTGCCTACCTTGAACTTCTCCCCACCTTGTAATTCCTACCCTTCCTAGTTTGGGACAAGGATTCCCTTATCTGGTTCTTGAATTCCCCCTACAAGTCTGAGCCTTATGCTCCTGGCTCCCACCCACACACTGTTCTGTCCCCTTTCCTCCATAGACTCTCAGTCCCCTGTCCTCAGGCATGTCATTCTATTCATTCTCTCAAATCCTTCACAGCCTTACAGAGAAGGTGCTACAGCTGGAGACTTCCCTGGAAGGAGTCATATCCAAGGTTAATGCTGTGTGCTCAAAGCTGAAGACGCTGGAGAGGAAGGGGCTGTTGGCTCTTTCTTCTGGCCTGGTAAAGAATCCTCCCCATGACCCCTTCAGCTTCCCACAGCTGAATTCCACCATCTTGTCCACTCAGTGTGGTGGTGGCGGTGTGGAGCATTTTCAAAAAAACCTCTATTTTCCAGCCCTTGGGGTAACACAAGGAGCCTTGGAGCTTGGTACTTAAGCACTTGGTTGCTGACCAGAAGGTTAGTGTTTTGAATCCACCAAATGCTCCACAGGAGAAAGCTTCGGCAGTCTGTGTCTGTAAAGATATTTTATTTTTTTACTTCTGTAAAGATTTTATAGCATTGGAAACATGATGGATCCTGTCTACTCTGCCCTATAAGGTCACCATGAGTTGGAATTAACTCATAATGGGTTTGCCTTCCGTGTCCACTCTACCAGTGGAGGGAGAGGGAAATGTGTGTGAGTTGGTTTTGCCTAAAGGTTACCTTAGCCTTTACCTAAGGGCTGCATTGAACTCTAGGAAGTGGTGTGGGCCTACAGAAACAGATTCAGAGAAAATAAAAAGGGGACAAAAATTCTCCCTTCAAATGACCTCTTTTTCTTCTTCCAGGAGGAACAATATATTTGGGAGCCCTTGCAGCCAGAACCATCTGTGACACCAGCTTCTTAGGGAGTCCAGAATGGGCAGGCGTTTGGTGGGGAAGATGCCCTGAAGCATTAGACAGCAGGTTTCTTTCTCAATGTCTCCCCAGAAGTCCCATCTCCACACAGCCTCCACTTCTAGGGCAGTAGGTCCCACCACTGCTGCTGCCGGACATAAATCCATATCTAGCCTTTGAGCAGATATATCTGTTGTAGACAAGGCATCATAGGCTTATGGCTCAGTGCTCCGGTGTGCACCTAGGTAGTTCTGTGTACCACAGTGACATAACATTTCCTCTGGGCTTCTCTGTCCCTCTGCTCCTAGCTGTACTATGATGACCTCAAAAAAAATGTCAATAACAGAATAAAGGGAGAAAAGATAATGACTCTTCCCAAACACCCAGATAATCATAATTTGTGAAAAAGGTAGAAGTCAAGAAAGCAACCAACATCTAAATTTCTTCCTACTCGTCAGTGAATTTTCTTATCCTTTATACATCTAAAGGAGCTCTAGTGGCCTAGTGGGTAAGGAATTGCACTGCCAATCTAAAGGCAGGTGGTTTGAGTCCATGTGCTCCGTGGAAGAAAAATGGGCAATCTCCCCCCCCGTGCCATTTACAACCTCTGAAAACCTGCTGAAAGGTCAACTACGAGTTGGTTCTGACTCAATGGCAATGAGTTATTGTTGAGCTGTATGTCTAGAGATCTGCTGCTAACATCTGTGGGGTTCTTGTCTTTCCATTGAGCTTCTCCTTAAAAGAAAGGAAGAGGAGAGTAAATTTCACCTTGTGGCAAAGAAGCTAAAGTGACACTCTCTTAGAATTCTCAGTGAAGTTCTTGCAAGGAGATTATCCTGACATTCTACTGAATCCTGTGAACTGAGGGATCTGAAAACCAGATGAAGATAGAAATTGAGAAGAAGCAGATAAAGAATACTGTTCCCCTACCCCACCCCCATCAAAATTCAGAACTCTAGATTAAAATGTGCTTTACTCTGATTCTAATCTTATACACAGCAGTGTGGCTTCCTCTGGTGACTGTAAATAAAAATCCTTACAAAACCCAAGAACTTTGCATTTGCTTTGAGGAATGCTGAGAAAAGAGAGGCTGGTACTATGGGCCATCTTGTCAGTGGACTGGGGTTGGGTGGGGGTGGTGACAACATTAAAGAGCGGGACTGCCCAGGGGCCCTGACTAAATAAAGAACTTTTGGCTCTTGGGAGCTGTTTGAAATACGGTACTATGTTTGTATCATAAAGGAGAGTGAAGAGAGTGACCCGGAAGAAGTGAACTTCAGGATTTAGAGAATGTGGTTAAGAGAGTTTGCAGGGGTGGGTGTGTGTAGTGTGTGTACACATACACAGTGTGTTGATTAAGAAGGTGGAGAGGGAACCTAACCAAAGACAAGAAACTTCTGCCTCCAAATGTTGGATGTCTGGAAGCCTACATCCGAAATCCTGCACCTAAAATCCTGCATCCTGAAGGCTGCTCTATATCCTCTCTCTTTTCCCAGTTCCCTGAATCCCTTTTTCATTCTGTACTTTCCATTGTTTCCTAGCTACTTTTCTCATCCGTTTCCTTCAGCCACTCCTCTTTGTCCAACACATTCTTCTAATACACTCTATACATCTAGGGGATGTTGGGAGTCTGAAGTTAACAAGGTTGCTAACCTAGAATGACTATGAGTCAAAATTGACTTCACAAGCACACAATGCCAAAGACAGGAGATTTATGAAGAGCAAAGTATAAATTAAGATACAAAATATCCCATCGGGTAATTTTTACAGGATGGAGTAGATCTGCCATAGAGTTTCGAAGGCTGTGATCTTTCAGGAAGCAGATCGCTGCATTTTACAGTCTGATCTTTCTAGGCTCAAGGGCCAAACTTTCCATTAGCAATGAGGTTTTGACCACTGCACCAGCAGGGCTCCTGCAATTGAAATAATCACAGTTATTTTCAATTCGAAAAATGTTACCATCTAAAGTGTCTTCAAGAAAGAGGTATTCGTTGAAAAAGTGTAGGCGCCAGCATGCAGTTTAAGGAAAAGTGGGAGGGAAAGTATTTAGATGCAGAGTCTCTGGGGAGGGGTCGGCCTGTTTCAGGTGACTTTGATCAACAGCCTTCCAGTCTTCCAGAAAGGCCTTGAAGATGGGACGGCATGCAGGAGTGCAGCCTCATTTCCAGAGTTTAGACTACTCTTTGCAGCAGATCGGTTAACGATAACTTATCTTCGCTTTTAGCTTTAAGTTTATATTTTATTAGAATTCATTGTTAGAGGTTCGGCCTAGGAAGAAAAGCAAAGGATCCACAAAGCCTGTGAAACCCCTGTCAGTCACCATCTGACAGCTTTGGGAGGCGGGGCGAGTAGGCCACGCCCCGTGCGCATGCGCACGTCCCAAACCGGAAGCAGCCGATCGGGCATGGCGGCGGCGGCCGAGGGTGTCCCGGCGAGCCGGAGTGAAGAACCGGTTCGAGGTACCTGGAGTGAATGAGGACAAATTGTCGAGTGGGGGCTCTGGAGCTCTGAGCAGGGGCCGCATGGGGCCACCTCCTGTTGACGGACTCGGGAAGGCGGTGCTGAGTGTGCGGTTGGCTGACCTGACAGGTGCCTGCTCACCGGTGTATGTGCCGGTGTGTGTGTCCACTCTCAGGACAAACTCTGAGATAGTTTGGCCGCGGGATCGCACATGAACAAGGGTCTGGTGCAGCAGGAAGGGTTGGCATGTCTTGCAGGGCACGAACGAATGCACGGTTTGCGATAGGGTCGATGGAGAGTGAAGGCAGGTGGAGGAATGCGAGAAATGGCTCCTTGGGCTCTATTAGGACTAGGTGTGGGGCAGGGCATTTACTCATTCTGTCTTGGCCAAGATGATGCTGCTGTGGAGACTGCCGAGGAAGCAAAGGAGCCCGCAGAGGCGGACATCAATGAGCTGTGCCGGGACATGTTCTCCAAGATGGCCACTTACCTGACTGGGGAATTGACAGGTGAGAATGGGCCCGGGTGTGTTCGGGGCACTGCGCCCTTGTACCACTCCCTGCCAATTGCGGTTTGACCTGAGGAAATCTACGCAATACTTTTGCAGCATCAGACTTCGGTTTTCCTCCTATACCTTACGTGTCCCTAGACAGGCCTGCTGCCACTTTGAGGAGTCATGAATGAGATGGAAAGAGGTCTATTTGCCCTGGACAGCCTCAGGAACTATTTCAGGCATATATATGTAAATACATAAAGACACTTCTGTGAAGACCTCTGTTGTTTTCAGGTACCATGGAGACAAAAGTTCAACTCTTGGAGACTTTATGCACCGCAGAACAAAACCTCACTGGATCCTGACATTCTAACACTCCTTGCCACGTTTAAACCTCTTGTGGCAGCAACTCTATCAGTCCTTGATCTTCCTGTTGTTTCACAGATTGTCTACCAAGCATAATGCCCTTCTCCAGAAGGTGATCTCTCCTGATCTCTATCCTCATTTTTTTAAATGATTTTTTTTTCATCCTCATTTTAAAGGAATCTTCCTGTTGTACTTCTGAAATGTATGCATTCTCCTGGCAGTGGTGGTGGTGGTGTTGTTGTTATGCACCATCGAGTTGGAACTGACTCAAAGCTGATCGTCCAGTGGGTTGTCAGATGAGTAAATCACACGGGAGTTGATGGCTCCCATGGAGCCATGTACTTTCGGGTTGACAGTGCAACTCTTCATCATTAAGCTACCAGAGCTCCTTGTAGCTACTCTCTGGCAGTGGCCCATGATAGATTTAATATTCTTGACCAACACAATAATGCAAATGTATCACATCTTTGATCTTACTCATTCTTTGCCAGCTTTTACATGCATATGAAGTGATTGAAAACAATATTGCTTGGGCCAGGCACACTTTACTCCTCAAAGTGACCTCTTTGTCTTTTAACACTTATAAGGAGTCTTTTGAAGCACACTTGCCCATTAAAATACATTCTGTGATTTCTTGACTGCTGTTTGAATGGACAGTTATTATGGATCCAAATAAAGTTAAATCCTTGACAATGTCAGTCTTTTCTCCATTTAGCATGATGTTGTATGGACTAATGCTGAGAGACCAATAGAGAATTAATATCTAGTAATAGTAATGGCGTGGGAGAAGGGTGAGCAATTAATATCTAGTAATGGTAATGGGAGAAGGATGGGCACTCTCCTCTCGTACAATTAACTGCCTCTGAAAATCCACCAGAGGGTCAGCTATGGGTCAGTTCCCCAACGTTAAACAACTAACAACAAAAATCATGAAGAGGGAGCTCTGGTGGCTTAGTAGTGAGGAGTTGCACTGCCAAGCCAAAGGCGTGCTGTTCAGATCCACTCGCTGCTCTGAGGGAGAAAGATGGGCAGTCTCCTCCTGTGTGTGCCTCTGAAAACCCGCTGCAGGGTCAACTATGAGTCTGTTCCAGCTCCACACTACTCAGTAACAACAACAATTAATCAAGAAATATTTGTTTGGAAGAGAAGTATTTTGAGTGATATTATGAAGGGAATAATAAACAGAAAAGGGGAGAATGATATGTAAGTGGCAGTGAAGTAATAGAAGCCGGCAAATTTCTTTGGCTAAAGCAGGGGTAGCCAGGAAATTAAAAGACGTATTGCGATGAGAAAGTCTGCAGTTACAGACCTCTCTAAAGTCCTGAAGAGCAACGATGTCAGTCTGGAGACTAAGGTATGCCTGATACATGCCTTGGTTTTTGGAATCACTTGGTATGCATTAGAGAGCTGGACAATAACTAGGGATGATGCCATTGAGCTGTGTTGTTGGAGGAGAGTGTTGAATATACCATGGACTGCTTAGGAGAACAAACAGGTTTGTCCTGGAGACGGTAAAGCCAGGCTGCTCCTTAGAGGCAAGGATTCTGAAGCTTCATCTGACATACTTTGGATGTGTTGCAAGGGGGGACCAGTTCTTGGAGAAAGACGTCATGCTTGGAAGGGTGGAGGAACAGCGCAGGAGAGGAAGACCCTTGATGAGATGGATTGATTCAGTGACTGGGGTAATGGTGTGTTGGAGACAGTGAGATTGGCACAGGATAGGGCAGGGTTTAGGACGGTTGT